CAGGAATTTCAAATAATGATGATGTTCTCATTTTCATTATGTGCTTGTGTTGTTAGAGTAGTCACCCAGCTGCTAGACTTGGTCCCTACTAAACGGGCACACCAGCTGCAAACTGATACCCATGAAGGTGGGGACGTGAGACCTTTCCTTGGAGCTGTCTCTACCCAAAGCCCTCTTTGCCTCCCTCTGTATTGTCTCTCTTTCTTGTAAGGACACCAGTCATTGACTGTAGGGCCCACCCTATTTCAGTATGACCTTGTCTTAACTTCTCTAATTACATCTGCAAAGATACTATTTCCAAATGAGATGACATTCTGAGGTTCCAGGTAGGCATGGATTTTGAGAGAGGGAGACTATACAGCCCAGTCCAGCATCCTTGCAAATTGTAGAGTGATATGTACTGTTAGGAGGGCAAAACAGGACACACTAGAGAATGTTGATTTTCTGGCCCCAGCTACAGCAACAGCAGGAACAACAACCAGGTTGGAAGATTGGAACTTGAGGGACAGAGGGTTTAGAGAGCAAGATTCTCAGAGGGAATCCTCTGTCAGGGGTTGGCCAACTTTTTCTGTAAAAGGCCAGATAGCAAAACATTTTTGGCTTTGCAGGCCATATGGTTTGTTGCAATTACAAAGCTCCACTGTTATGGTGCAAAAGCAACCAGAGACAATACATACATGAATGGGTATGGCTGCGTGCCAATAAAACTTTATTTATAAAGACAGTCAGGGGTCCAGATTTGGCCTACAGGCTGCAGTTCACCAATCCTTGTCCTATAGGTTGGAGTATATAATTGGTTATTTGAGTATATAATCAATAACCTATTAGTGGGTCCATGGCAAATGTAATGGAAAAAAGTATTGAAGTGCATAGGAAATTGTCAGAGAGCAAGGCCACAACAGGAAGTCAAAAGATAAAGTCTGAAACTGAGAGTAATACTAGAGGAAATAGTTAAAGTGTTGATGATGGTTGGCTACTAGGGGCAGGATATTTGTGAGATTTGAGGAGGCAGAGATGGGTGGAATAGAGGATTGTTATTTTGTTATAAACCTTTATGATCATTTTGATATTCAAACAACAACAATAAAAATGTATANGATAGAGGATTGTTACTTTGTTATAAACCTTTATGATCATTTTGATATTCAAACAACAACAACAAAAATGTATATGTATTACCTTAATAAAAAGGTGGTAACATAAAAAACCCAGCCAACTAATGTCAGGGCACTCCATCTTTGCTGCTTGTATTACACCAGATTCTGCGGTATAGTCTCTCTGGGTCTGTGGAGAAAGCTGGGAGCTCCCACCAGGGGGCACTGTGAGAAAAGTTACTGTTTTTCTCCGGGAAAATAAAATAAGAATCACCCTGGCTAGTCAGTCTACAGTAGGACTTGTCAATCTACCACNAGGGCACTCCATCTTTGCTGCTTGTATTACACCAGATTCTGCGGTATAGTCTCTCTGGGTCTGTGGAGAAAGGTGGGAGCTCCCACCAGGGGGCACTGTGAGAAAAGTTACTGTTTTTCTCTGGGAAAATAAAAGAATCACCCTGGCTAGTCAGTCTACAGTAGGACTTGTCAATCTACCACCCTGGGGGCCAGATCAGGCCCTTTGCCTGAATTTGTTTTATTTGTTTGTTTTTTGCTTCGCTATTTTATTTTTATTGAGGTATAGTTGATGTATTAGTTTAAGGTATACAATGTAATAATTTGATATTTGCATATAATGCAAAATGTTCACCACAGTAAGTCTGGTTACCATCTGTCACCACACATAAATACAGAATTTTTCACTTGTGATGAGAACTTAAAATTTTTTAAAATTTAAGTGTATATTGGTTATATTAGTTTCAGGTATACAGTACAGTGATCCAACATTTTTGTGCCTTGCAATGTAATCACCCCACTAATTCTAGTAATCTTGTCACCATGTAAATTTATCACAGTATTATTGACTATATTCCCCTTGCCCTTCACACCCATCCCCACCATCTCCCTCCCTTCTGGTAACCATCCCTTTGGTCTTTGTTTCTATGAGTCTATTTTGTTATTTTTTTTAGATTTCACATATAAGTGAAACCATGTGATATTTGTTTTTCTTTGCCTGACTTCTTTCACTTAGCACAATACCCTCTAGATGCATCTATGTTGTCACAAATTGAAGATTTCATCCTTTTTTATTGCTGTGTAATATTCCATTGTATGTAGGTATGTATGTGATCACATCTTTGTCCATTCATCTATCAATGGACAGCTAGGCTGCTTCCATATCTTGGCTACTGTAAATAATGCTGCAATGAACATAGTGGTGCATATATCTTTTTGAATTATTGTTTTAGATGTCCTTGGATAAATTCCCAGAAGTAGAATTGCTGGGTCATGAGGTAGTTCAATTTTTAATTTCTTGAGGAACCTCCATACTGTTTTCCATACTGGCTGCATCAATTTACATTCCCATTAACAGTGTGGGAGGGTTCCCTTTCTCCACATCCTCGCCAACACATGTTGTTTGCTGATTTACTGATGATGGCCATTCTGACGGGTATGAGGTGATACTTATTGTGGTTTTGATTTGCATTCCCTGATGATCAGTGATGGTGAGCACATTGTCATGTGTCTGTTGGCCATTTGGATGTCTTCTCTGGAAAAATGTCTATTCAGGTCCTCTGCCCATTTTTAATTGGGTTGTTTACTTTGAATTTTTAAAAACCATATACCTCTATTACTTTCATAATATTTTTAGAAATTAGTCTAAATATGAAAAAGTAATGGGTTGGCCCTATAGAATACTGAATTGACACAATACAGGGAGAGGGGGGAAAGGATATATGTTTTAAATTTTTGATGAATAGTCAAATTATTCTTCAATGGAGCTGTACTCACTCACTACCACCACCAACATGTGAGCATTGTGAGTGGATTTTAAGACTTATCTTGAGAAATTTGGGGTTAATCACTTAGCTAACATACGCCCATCATAAACTGTTAGCTTCTAAAGTCAGCCTAGAAATGTCATTTGAAAACTGTAAGCTAGCATTTGACTGCATCTAAAAGAAAACCTAACCAAAGCAGGTTGTAAAATATGGGATTATTTTTCTCACCAGACAGGGGAGGGAGAGTGGGCTAGAGGTGGTGAAAACAGGGCTAACAGTGCCCATTTTTTACATCTCAGCCCAAGGAACCTCCCCAGACCTCCCTGCCTAGGTCGAATTCCTCATCAAACTCTCTCGACACACCTTGAGACTCCGCACAATTCTCAGTTTCTCTGCTGTTTCCCTAAACAGACCTAATCTGGTTTTGCTCATTTTTGTGTTCCCAGCACCTAGCATAATGCTCAACAGAAGGGCTGTGGCTCTGTGTAGACTTCACCAGCACATGCAGGAGTGCAATGCATGCGCAAATGAATGGATGAATGAATGAATGAGTGAATGAATGAATGAATGAATGAGCGAACGAGTTAAAAGGAAACTGAAATTCTCCTGCCCAGGAAGCAGTTTCCTCCAGGGGTGGGGGTGGGGTGGGGAGGCAGGGACAGCTAGTGATGTCACAAGAGGTAGCTGGGACAGAGGATTCCGGAAGGGCTGTCAGGGAGGAAAACTACGCACCTTCCTGCCTCTCGTCACCACCACAATCCTGGCTGGACCAGACGGTGACGAGGGCTGGGAAGAGGCAGCACGTGTTCAGGTTTCCAGGAGGGGCAACTTGTCACTTTGTGGAAGAAGAAAACACCTGAGTGTCCAGATGTCTCAGCAACCGATGCCTTGCTGTGATGGCCAGACCTATACCTTGTGAAGAGCGGCAGGTGCCAGTGGTATGGGAGAGGGGCAAGAGGGGTCCTTTGGGATTCAGCGTCTGACTGTCATTGAACAGCGTATTTCACTAGGATTTGGCCTCACCATAGACGACACACGTTTTGGCCTTGAGCTAGACCCTCACAGTATCTTTTTTTTAGAGGGAGAGAGAAACATCGATGTGAGAGAAACATCAATTGGTTGCCTCCCGTGTGCGCACCGACCGGGGACTGAACCCACAACCCAGGTACGTGCCTTGACCAGGAATCAAAGCAGAAAACTTTTTGGTGCACAGAATGATGCTCCAACCACCCGAGCCACTGGGCCAGGGTGTGATGACTTTTTAACAACTAATACATAGTTGACATATGAACAAGGCCCACGTCTAGATAGAAAACGGGAAGCTATTTGCTAATAAATTATTTTCTCTTTATATTTTCTCTTTAGTAATACCTGAAAACCCAATGAATTCGCTACAGAATAGTTGTAAATTGTCCATTTTAAGACATATCGTACACTTTTCCCACATAGAGTTCACTTTTAGGGGGCTGTGCAGTTCTATGAAGTTTGACAAATGCATAGAGTTGTGGAGCCACCAATACAGTCAGATACAGCGCCTTTCCATCACCCCCCAGGTTCTCTCGTTTCCCCTTTGTATCAACCCGCCTTCCTGCCACAGCCCCTGACAACTTCAGACTATCCTCCATCACTATAGTTTTGCCTTTTCCGGAGAGAGACTTAAATGAAACCGTAAAGCGCGTGGTCCTTTGAATCTGTCGTCTTCCACTCAGTGTGATGCCTTTGAGACTCGCTCAGATTGTTGATTCCTCTCCCTTGCTGACGCCCGCCGCGTGGGCGTACCACAGGGAGGTGTGAGGGGTGAGGGTTGCTTTCCCTCGGGAGACTTCAAAATGTTTTCTTACCCACAGGATCACATATAGACTTGACACCTTATTCCAATGTATGAGAGACTCCTGGAAACACAGACTGAATGCTCTCTGGACTCCACAATTGGTGCCCCTCTTCCCCCAGACCCAGAGCAGCCATGACTAACGATCCCGGGATTCCAGGCAGACACGGCCAGTGGATGGGAGTTGGCCTCGGCCCTGCAGTCCCTTTGCCAGTCCTACTAAGTTCCCTGCTTTGTGCCTTGCAGTACTGTGAAGAATGTTCTCTGCGGACCTGGAAGGGCTGAAACCCCAACAACTCAAGAAGAGGAGGCTGAGGACCTTGAAGTAGACATAAGTAAAACAAAAGGCATGTTGTGGGGGAGAGAAAGGTGCACTGACTTGGCGCAGGCTTTTCCTAAAGGAGCCTGGTCTGAGAGAGTCAGGGCACAGCCGTTCTGTGCCTGAGCCCCTGGCGTGGGCCAAGGTGCATGAACCCCAGGGGGTGGGCGTGGGGGTGGGGTTTTCTACCACTAATAAGGAGGGCAGGCCTGTGATTTCAGAGCCTCATTTGTGGTGTTTGTATCACGGCAGCATTGACAATAGCCCTTCCCTATTAGGCGGTGAGTCTGTGTGGGAGGAAGCATATATACATCAGATGTGATTACATATACAGTGCAGATGTAACATTATGTATACAGTGCAGATGTAATATTATATATACAGTGCAGATGTAATATTATATATACAGTGCAGATGTAACATTATGTATACAGTGCAGATGTAACATTATATATACAGTGCAGATGTAGCAATAACGGTTTGTTATCATGATGTCGTAACCATTTTTCTGCCGGAACTCGGGGAACACCGTGTGACGACAAAGAGCCTCTGCTCTTGCGCCGCTGCCCTGTCCAAGTGGATAAGATGTTGGCGACAAGGACCTTCGCAGTTGTTCTCAACACTGATAATCTTGGGAACCCCATTTTGGTCACTGTGCTGGATTCCCAGGACTGCCACAGCAAAGCACCCCAGGCTGGGTGCTGAAACGACAGAAACTCATTGCCTCCCAGCTCTGGAGGCCAGAAGTCCAAAGTCCAGGTGTCAGCCGTTCTGGTCCCCCTTGGAGGCTGTGATGAAGAATCTCTCCCGTGCCACCGGTGGCTTCTGGTGGCGGCCGGCGGCTGTTGCTGACCCTTGGCCTGCACCCTCATCACTCCAGTCCGCCTCTGTCTCCACGCGGCCGCCTACTTTGTGCATCATGTTGTAATCAAATGTCTATGTTTTCGTCTCATAAGGACGGCAGCCATCGGATTTAGGGCCCACCCTCCATCTGGGGTGATTTCATCTCGAGATCCTCAACTGATTTCACCCGCAAAGACCCTATTCCAAATAAGGCCACATGCTGAGATTCTGTACATGAACTTTGAGGGAACACTGTTCAACGCACTATAGTCATTAAAATCCCCCCACCCTACCCAGGGGGTACCCCTCCACGCTTTTGTCCAGTTTGAAGCTTCTGCCCTCCCCAGGTTTCAGCCTGGATGCCTGGAGTGCTGGGGCTGAGGGTGGCATGATAGCTGAGCGCCCATTTTCGAGGCGATGTTCTCCTGGTGGCGCCCTGGCTTCGCTAGGCGACCTTGTAAGCTGGTGAGACTCCCACAGCCCGTTCTCCTTGGGTGGGGGGACCCCTATGAACCAGCCTTCCATTGATGTGGGCTGTAACGGGGATGTCTGCGTCCCCCCCAATGTGATGGTATTAGCAGATGGGCCTTTGAGAGGTGATGAGGTCCTGGGGCTGGAGCCCTCCTGAACGGCATCCGTGCTCGGATAACAGGCCCCAGGGAGCTCCCCTGTCCCTCCCACCGTGTGAGGACACAGCGGGAAGACAGCGTCTGTGAACCAGGAGACAGGGACACTGGTTGGCAATTTGATCTTTGATTTCCCAGCCTCCAGAACTGTGAGAAATAAATGTCTGTTGTTTCTAAATGACCAAGTTTATGGTATTTTATTATAGCAGCTCACAGGGACTAAGACACCCCCCTAAACTCATAGGTTGCAGTCCTAACAGTTACCCAGTACTTCAGAATGTGACCTAACTTGTAAATAGGGTCATTGCAGATAGGATGGGTCCTAATCCAATATGACTGGTGTCCTTGGGCAAAGGGGAAATCTGGACACAGACTCGCACACAGGGAGAACACCATGGGAAGATAAAGGTGGAGACCGGGTGATGCTTCTACAAGCCAAGGAACTTCAAAGACTGCCAGCAAGTCACCAGAGGGCAGGGGAGAAGATGGAACAGATTCTGCCTCATGGCCTCAGGAGGAACCCACTGCTGACACCTTGATCTCGGACTTTTTGTCTCCATTACTGGCAGAGAATAAACTTCTGTTGTTTCAGCCACCCGGCCTAGAGCACGGGCACACCTCGTTTTAGTCCGCCTCACTTCATTGTACTTGGCAGATACTGCATCTTTTACAAATTGAAGGTCTGTGCCAACCCTGCCTTGAGCAAGCCTATCGGCACCATTTTTCCAACAGGCTTAGATGATGGTTAGCATTTTTGTTAGGAATAAAATATTTTAAAATTAAGATACGTGCATTTTTTTTTTTTTAGACATAATGCCACCTAATTCTGGACTGTGGACCATTCATCCAGATGGAGAAGTCCTTCTGAGGCAATCAAAACATGGGCCAGGCCATGAGGCCCCCATGACCATCCCAGAACTTTTTCAGGAGTCAGTCAACCGATTTGGGACTTATCCAGCCCTCGCATCAAAGAAGAGCGAAAAATGGGAAGTACTGACCTACAGCCAGTACTATGAGGTTTGTCGGAAGGCTGCGAAAGCCATGCTCAAGGTGAATGAGTCACCCATTCCTTCTTCCTTCCTTCCCTCCCTCCTCCTCCCTCCTCCTCCCTCCCTCCC